TGATGAGTCTTGAATAGGACTAAATTCACAAAGCCCGGATTCTGCTGCTGGTTACCAACAACCAGAATAATCTTATATTGGTTCTTAAGCATTCATCAAAGCCTCTATACAAAGAGTGAACATGTAAAAGCAAACACAAAATTTAACCTAGAAACGAATTTTTCTCACTTAACTAGAGTGTTACTATAGACCTGATGACTATGGTTCATTTATTGTCGTAGCAAAAATGTTTATGTCTCAGTGCTGTGCAATTATGACATCCATAATTTGATAACCTTACTCTGTGTTTCATTTTTTGACGTCAATCCTGACGAAACCTTGAAGTCATAAAATTCAATGTAGTAATTTAAGCTACTAAGTCTTGTTTGAGTAATATGATTTATTTTATATAATTTTATCGACCTTGTGGTAACACTAACCAGTGAATAGATCAAAATGCTTTTGCGATGTAGGAAAAAGGTAGCCAGGGGGAATTAATGCGTTTTACTGAACGAATTTTCAAATTTTCTCATGCAAGGATATCATTCAGGGTACCATTGGAATCCAAGTAGTACACGGTGGCTTCTTTATACTACATTGAGACTCTTCATGGAGCCACTATTAGGGAACGAATAGACTGCCTTCAGGTTACGAGGCCAGCCGGTTGACGGACCTGAATGGTCTGTGAATTTAAGCCTGTACGAATCTATGATATATAGTGAGACCAGCAGCCAGTGTCATTGGTAAGTACATATCCTCGCACCCGACCCAGTCACGATTTATCGCCAGTCACTAGAAGTTGCAGTTCGTGGGCAATTGGATCAGGTCCTAGTGACTGGATGGTTTTGGAGATTCCCTTGTAACTGGAGGCTGTAACGTTCGAACTCTGGTGGATAGGTGTTACTGAAGAGTCTTTCCAAACTGGGACGAAAGAGATGTCCGGTAATACCTGTTGGTTTTCCAACGGTTCTGTGTCTCAAGTTAGCTCATAAAAAGACTTATTCTTTATATTATTTGGTTCCCGAGGATTGACTCTAATGATGTATCCAGTGCTTAATTGATCAACGCTGACTAAAATCTTTCACTCTTAAACAGTCCATCCTCATTAGACTCACCAGAAAGGTTTTCACTTCAGGTAATGTACGTCACATGCCATAATCAAAGATGTGAATACATGAAATAATAATAGTTTAAAATGCAAATAAAATATTTGTGAATACAATCATAGTAAAATGTCAAGTAGCAAAACAATTTCTGTCATATATAGAATAATTTATAAGGTGTATAGATTTTGGAAAACGGTACATAACTATAGGATTAGTAGGAGAACATGAAATTCTACATGACGTGATGTGAAATTTGACAAGATAGAATTCAATATTATAAAAATTAAAAATAATAATTTTCGATTTAGAATGACAAGTGGGACAAGCGGAAACAATTCAGAGTGAGAATGATAATAATGATAATAATCGTAGTAATGTGCGTAGGTGGCATAGCGGTTAGGGCATGAGGCTAGCAACCCCATCCTGTAAAAATAAACACTGCTACATAAACTTCAAGCCTCTGGCTTGAAGCCCCATGTTCCACTAGGAACGTGAAGGAATAAAAAGAATCATAGTAATAATGGAAAGGTACATAGAATAACTATATAAACAAAATAAATAAATGTCTATTCCCCTACGGCCAAGGCAGAAGTGGGTATTGTACATACTTCTTTTGCACACAAAGGTCTGGTTTAAAGACATGAATTTCCAAGGCCTCCACTGTCTTTAGAAGCTTGTAACGAAGAAAACGCTGCCGGCAAGTTAGCATGGATTCAGTAGTTGATCTCAAAATCGTAGCCAGGGTTGGCAGGGTGACAGGAGTCGATCAGGTGTTCTAGAATAGATCTTTGCACACACTTCCTTTCTTCCTTGTTAACCCATGCAGCTGGAATATGTTCTCGTATCCATGTCGAAAGCGTCCTCTAGCAACGGCCAATGTACCTTGTTCCACAACAGGAGCACATGGAAGCGGCCAGACAGGGGAGCTTATCTTCTACAAAACATAATCGTTAGTTGGACTGTCAACTTATCTAGCCTAAAATTTCATTCTGCCGATTAATATCTACCTGCAAAAGCTTTACTATAGAAATTTCTGGCCGATGCACTCCTTAACGTTATTTAGCCGGTATTAAGTTTGACAAGGAGGAAAGTTTGGGTGTGTAGCTAGCAACCTTCCTATCCCATGAAAAGCCACCAACAATGCTGCAACTTCAAAGCTCAAGCTGAAAACATTATATTCCACCCACAGAGCAAAAGATGACAAAATCCAAAATACAGTCAGCATTAAACACCTGTGAGTGAGTCGATGGTAGTATTGTAAATACACAGAGTCTATGATAACGAAATGTTTGATATAAGGAAATTACCTGTACCATATATTAAAATCGTCATTTGCACAGATCTCCCGTTTTATGTTACTGCTGCCCATCTTTTTGTGTCTCTCATGATTCGCTTCAATACTGATTCATTTCCTCCCTTTGACATCAAATCTACCTCTCCACTACTGGATATATTTTGTCATTTCCTTATATACTACTGATAAATATTATCAGTAGCACACGCCACAGTATGTCCACCAGCTACGAAGGGAGATGGAGTTCAATTCCTGACCGATGCTCTCCTAAACTTCACCCAACAATTTACTACCTAACAGCAAGCGCGGAAAAACCGGAAGGTTAGGCGTGAAGCCAGCAACCCCTATCCAGAAAGCAGACAACACCGCCTCTATTGCTGAAACTTCAAAGGTCGAGCTTGAAGCCTTATGTCCCACATGTAGCACAAAAAGGAATCAAAATTAACAAAAAAATACGCGCATAACACTAGCGAAATTTAAAACGTGTTTCGGGATAATTTTAGTACAGACTAATGGAAGCGAATTGGCGACAGTTTAGAGCATTGCTACCATCGACACACACACAAACAAATAAAAGAACAATGGAATTCCCCTTCTAAATCCCGAAAACTTTTAGGCTTATCGCCACACAACTAATTCAGATAAAAATTTCACGCTCTGTAAATAAATATATCTCGAATAAACTTTGTTCTTTTTTTGTTGAAAAAATGGAAATTTTCGAAATTCCATCGCTGACTACTAATTTGTTTAAGCGATTTGAACACAAAAGAAATTTATATAGGCTAAAAATATACAGTTTAAAAAAAATATTGTTTATTGTCAAATCTGCAAACACTGATTAAGGAGGCAAGAAAATGTTCTTCTGTTATTTCCTCCTCATCCTGGAAGATTTAAAGTTTCACTAGCGGTAGCCGTGTTATATTCCTTACGGAGGGGGATAAGATGGCAAGCCTCATGCCATGAACTCATAGTTTCCCGGCTTATTATTATACGCCATTAAACTAGGCAACGTTTAAAGACATGAAAAGATTAGCTGTCTTCGATCATAGGTGTCTGCGTTCTATCTCCCGTGAGAAGTGGTATCATAGGGTGAGCAATATTGAGGTTAGGCGTCGAGTGCTAGGTAAGGAGGGGAAATCAATCGACGAGACTGTGAAATTACATCGACTGAGATGATTAGGACATGTGTAACGTATGCCTAGTCATCGCCTTCCTCGACAACTTGCAATGTTAGCTGACATAGGACCAGGCTGGAAAAGAGCTATCGGTGGTCAAACCAAAATATAGCTTCATCAGTCAATGAAATCTACGGCAGTTAGTCTAAGACACGTAGGAGAGTGTAGACTTCCTGGTTGGGGTCCTCGGGAGGGTAAAACCAATGGCTGGCGACAATTGGTGACATGGCTCAAAATTGTTCTCAATGGCTAGCGCAGATGCATCCACTCCTTGTGACTTATGATTTCCAATGAGACTGTTTTGTTCTTCATTATTACTATTCCTCTGTTTACTGTCTCTAATATGCATTTCTCCTACTTTCTTCGCTTGCTTTGTGTGCTACATGGAGGGAGTGTGGCGACTTGAACTGCCGCACATATGTGCAAAGTTCTATGTTGCAAACAAACAGACAGGCGACGTTTAGGAGTGTTTTTATGCCGGTTGCGATTCTAACCCTGACCATGTGCTTGATCGACGAGCATTTTCAATTGAACCCTTGATACAGAGAAGTACCACAGTGTCGATGATTGAACCAGGCACCTCTTGTTCGCGAAGCGAGAGATCTATCAGTGAGCTATATCCCTGCATGAGGGGCAAACATACAAGTAGTAACAAGGTACAACCCCGGTGATCTTAAGAGAACCAGTGTTCTCAAACCTTCAATTCCCATTTATTCTCTCTCTGTTATTGATGTTATCATTCATTTCCATGAAGTTTATAATCAAATTGAATGAAACTCAGTGATGAGCACTCATAATTAAATGAGTATCCGTTCATATTTTTGACCATTTGCCTTTGATATCCGATGTTTAGTTTGGCTGTTAGACGTTTTGAGTTATTGAAATTCCTGCCAAAGTGTCAGTAGGATGTCAAAACCTGAAGGTCCCAGGTCCGATAAATGATGGTGGAGTCGTGGATGTGTACTGCTGATTTATCTTTTGACCAGTCGATCACGGGTTGATATCAGTCAGAGAACCACTGAAAACCAGCTACAGGGATTACTGGACAGACGGCTGTTTCATCCTAGTTTGGAAATCATCGGCAGTACGCAAACAGTGCTAGGGTTAGAACCCAGGACCTACCGTTACAAAACAAGCTCGTATATTATTCAGCCACTGGAATCCTATTCAGTGGCCAGTCCATGAATTCTAGCTTCTACCAATTCGTGGTGCACTTAGCGCTACCATCAGCCAATGTCATCGGTGGAACATCCATCCTCACACACTTGACTGGATGAACCTCACTGGTCACAACTTCTCACTAGAACTCCATATATATAACTCCGTCTTTTAGCCAGTAGTCAGTGGAGAGCATCTTTTACAATCTTTTATAATGTGGATTATATTATCTTTTACTTCAGAACTTAAATTTATGAGATTTTCCTCTTCTGTTTCTTCTCTGTTTAGGTAAATGTATCTCCGCCTACAGTCAATCCGAGTACCGATCATACATGGAATAAAGAGTACTCTGATCAACATAATTACCGACAACACCCCCAACAACAGCAACAACACAAACTGCCGGAATACCATGAAACGGATAGTTACAATCAAAGTGAGTCACTACGTTTTATTCTCTTTCAGAGTATTTTGTGTGTGTGTGTGTGTGTGGAATGAATGTTAGATTCCATTGTGGATAAAATTTATTTTGTACAGCGTTTGTTGTACAGTAATATTTACCACGTTGATGATGACCACGTTTTGAGCACAATTCATCACTACTCATAATCCCAATATTAAGTTACTCACACAACTTTCCAACTTCGTTTATATAATCCCAACATTTCTCATCTGTTTAGTTGATTGGTAGTAATATTTTCCATATTCCTGGTATGCGTCTTGAATCATCCCTTCGTATTGTACGTATCTATTGTGTAACAGTGCGCTGTTAGTAAAAGCGGTGCAATGTAGTGCTGAACTCCTTTCTAAATTACTTATCTTCTTGGGGGCAGTCATTCTTCACTTAACGAATTTCTTATATTCAGACAATCTAACTACCCTCGATCTACTGCTCTGACTCACTGACCTGTGTAGTTGACAACAATCACAGTCGCTGCATGGGTATTTTGTAGATTGTATTGTTTTGTCTAATTGGGTCCGCCATTTCCTTCAACGTACAGAGCTTGTCCTACCTGATTGAGTTAGTAGGCTTTAATGCCAACATCCGAATTCCTGCTTTATTAGGAATTCTACTACGTAGGCTGTCAGATGTCTTCTTCTTATATGATAAAACTACTGCAAATGCCTTATATTTTTTCTTATTTATGTTGTCATTATTAGTTTCACCACTATTTTTATTTCGACCTCGCACCCGACCTTCTGTACCCTACTGGTCACAACTTCCAACTAGAAACCCAGGTAACTACCTACGTGAATAGTACCAGTAGCTAGTGAACATCTCATTGATATTCAAGTATTCGTTTGTAGTGATCCAATGAATTGGTTACAGGATTTTCAATGGTCCTCTAACCGATGTGTCAGCTCATGATGAAATCCTGTAACGAATCAATCAAATCCTTACAAACCAACGCTTGAACATCTCCATTTTTTCTGCATATTTATTGGTCAGTAAGTTCTTGATTGATTAGTTTCCATAGCACCTTGATATAAGAATAAAACTTGTGCACTGTTGTAGAGTGTAATTCCATTATGAGTAAAATTTATTTTGATAAAGTCTCACAGTGTTATTCGACAATACTTACTGATGACGTTTCGAGCACAATTTATTGCCACTCATAATCATATCAAGGTGATATTAGCATTAGCGTAGTCCTTGAGAGTATGATTTCTCCGCGTAATCTCCTTATGATTAATCAACTCTCCGCTCTTCATAGTGTTTCTTGGTCAGTATTCATAAATTTGTGACAACTATGCGGGACTGTTGATCTGAATTGTTGTAGGTACTCTTCAGATGTTGGTACCAGAATTTCTTCATGTTCTGTTTTGTTATAATGGTGGTAGCCTACTGAAATGCATTTTAGTAGTGTAGTGATGGCTGAACAAGTTAATAAAGTTTGATAATGGATAATTAGATGTGATGAAATGTATAGAAGTAAAGCTTTTTTAAGTACAAAATATGTATTCAAATGTCGTGTAGACTTAAAATATTCCAGACAGAATTTGGATGATTTAAACTCGTTCAATTCTCTAAGTTTAGTAAAATTAGATACACAACTGATGACTGCGATTCGGCTGGCTGGCTGGTTGGCTAGTGAGCACTACCGAGAGTTGACGTGACTAGTATCCAAATGATAATATCGGAAAATCATCAGTAGATGGCGTGATGCATTTCTGGTCGGAGGATATCATTATGAGATGACATAGATTAGAGAACCACTGGAAAACGGGGGAGTACTGGACGGCCAAATGTGTCGTCCTAGTTTGGGACTCTTCACAGAATGCACTCATCGCCAGGGTTCCAACCCAGGAATTTCCGGCTACAAGGCCAACGAGCTTATAGACCATTAAGCCACTGGGACTCCAATCCGATGGCCATTTCATGAATTCTATTTTCTGACAATTCACTACATAGCGTGACCACTAGCTAATGTCTTCGGCGAGTATTTATCCTCAAAATTGAACTGCCGCACCCTACTGGTCACGACTTCCAACTAGAAGCTCAGGTAACTACCTATCTGAATAGAGCCAGTCACTAGTGAACATGTAACTGATATTCAAGTATTGGTTTTTAGGGATTTGATTTATTGGTTACAGGATTTCCAATGGTCCTCTAACCGATGTTAGCTCATGATGAAATCTTGTAACGAATCAAACAAAATCCCTACAGAAATCAATCAATTTTTGTTTGTTTGCTTGGTTCGTCTAATATGGTTTCAAGTACACCATATACTGTATGTGATCTAGAAATAATCCTGTTTCCTAAGGGATCTCTGTCGTGAAGTTTCATCTCCTTGAAGGGTGTAGAGTGAAAGTTGGGAATTCATTTCAAAAGCCATGTGAAAATGTCAGATGTCAAGTGATCCTCAACGGAAAACTTAGAAAAGACTTTGAGGTGAAAACAAGAGTATGATAAGGCTGCCCATTATTGCAGATGACATTCCTCATCGTGGTGGACTGAATTTCGCGTCAAACTGTGTGTAGCGAGAAGACAGTAGTACTCTGGACTGATAAGAAGACTCTAGAAGGCCTGCGATTCGCGGATATCTAGTATCACATGCAAATTAGGACCAACAAGTCAGCAGAACAGTCAGGCAGCGAAGATATGACCTCAAGTGATGAACATAGAGGAGATGGAAGTGATAAACCAGTGCTAATCGATGTAAACGGGAGAAATTTGAAAGAGGTTACTTTCCTCACTTATCTAGACAGCACTGCTTCAACTAAAGGCGACAGCACGGATGACGATGGCAAAAGCAGAATCGAAAAGGCAAGAAACACCTTCAACACCCTGAAATCAGTTTGCGAATCCTCTGCGTTCAGTCGGTATAATCGACAAGATTCGGATTTTTCAACACAAATGTTAAGAAAATCTCAGTGCGCGTCATGAAATGCATTTCCAACAGGCCCGCTGAAGACTTTTATCAACAGCTGCCACCTTCGCTGGCTGGCTCCATATTGAAGATCAGATGGTCAGAAAGAATTAGCAACAAGAAACTCTGGCTGGGAAAAAACCAACGAGGAGCCGATTGCTCAGTAAATATGTAGGTTAAAATGACGATGGATTCATCTTACTCTGAGGAAACTGTTGTGTTACGCCGCGCGTCAGATCATAGCTCGAGTGAAACACGAATGGGAAAATTCCAGTTAGGAGTCCGAGGTAGGAGACCTTTGAACGAGGAGGACGTGAGAAATTATGGGCACTTGTGGACTTGGCTAAACAGGACACTTGAAAAACAGCAGAGACGCGCCGTTGAAGACCTATGTTTCACTTGGAACCCAAGTAGACAATAATTATAAATACGTCGATGAAGAAGTAAATTAAATTATTAGGTATTTGGAGGCAATGGAGAAGTCCTGACTACTCGAACCTACATTTCGTGCTTTTCAGCATTCAACAGTCAGGAAGACGTATCTACAATCTTCAAGGAACTCATATCTCTTCTGAGATTTGAACACGACCTACCCAGTGTTGAAGTGAAATACGTTCTCACTGGAACTCTGGACCGTTGGATGCTGTCCTATGTGACTTCATCCCGTAAACTAAAGGTCGTGGTTTCAATTATTGGTGGGGTGCGGTCTTAGGTGCTTACTGTCGATGAGACCCTTCAAACCAGAATGAAACAACTGGTTGTCCAGGAACTCCCCCCGCCCACCGCAACCAGTTTTCAATGGTTCTCGAACTGATATAATCGATCCGTGATCAGACCAGGAGAAAACGATATTAAATATTTTTAAAAATGTAAACAGACGTGTTTAAAAATAGCTCCTGCGGACGCTCACTTCCACACACACGCACACAAACACATAACCAATATGCAAGACAAAGTTGGATTGTGTTACATTTCCTGTTGGGCTCTTTTAAAGGAATATTTTGCAATTAACTGTGTGCACGTGTGTATGTGTGTGTGGAGGGGTGCGAGAGAAAAGGGGAACAGAATCAGACAGAACATAAATAATTGAAATTTGAAAAAACGATAAGATACATTTTGAAAAAATAATGATCGAAAAATAATAATTCAGAATTAGGGATATGGATATACAAGACGATTTTATCCTAGAATGGATCCATTGCATTCTTCCTCTGTCTCTGTCTTTGGTGTCAACCCTCCCCTGCCCCTGCAGTGTCCATCTACCATCCCAATTTTAATTGTGTTTATTGTACATTGGCCATTTCAAATTTATTCTTTCTCTCTGTCTGCGTGTGCTTGTTTGTTTCAATGTTTTGAATGGATTTACTTTGTCTTTTCTCATTTCAATTTTGTTTTTCTAATTTTTAAATTTAATTTAAGAATCGAAAGTAATTTTTATCCAAAGAAATAGTTTCGAAGATCCTTAATGATTTATATATATATTTATACAAGCTTGACCATGGATTGATATTAGTTAGAGAAGCATTGAAAACCAGCCAGGGACTACTAGACAGCTGTTTCTCCAGTACTAGTTTGGGAATCATCGGCAGCACACACCCACCGCCAGGGTTCATGACCAATGAGGTCCATCCAGTCATGTGTGTGTGTAAGGATGGATGTTCCGCCGATGACATTGGTTGGTGCCAGTCGCGCTAAATGCACCACGAGTTGGTAGAAGTTAGAATTCATGGACTGGCCATCGAGAAGTCGGATCCCAGTGGCTAAATGGTTTAGAAGCCTGCCTTATAACTGGAAGGTCCTGTGTTCGAACACTTGTGGTGGGTGTATACTGCCGAGGATTCACAAACTAGGACAGAGGAGACAGCTCTCCAGTACTGCCTGGCTGGTTTTCAATGGCTCTCTAAGTGATATCAATCCGTGGTCAAACTTGTATAAACAAATCTATTCCTTACAAATCAATCGTTGAAGATATCAGGGTTCCGTGAGTATCACCCCTTCACAATGGCTCCCAATATTACGTTGTCTTATATCCTTCCCAAATTACATTCTAGCACTTTATGCCAGG